GGGGGGGGGGGACGCCATGTCTCCCAAGCCTCGGATATTGTGATTCCCCTGAGCTCGCTTCACACTCCGGTAACCAGGGACGCTTCCCTGCCTCCTGGAAACGCAAGCCCACATCCCAGATGTGGCACCCAGCACTGGCAGGGGACCCCGGGCGCGCTGGGGGAGGGGCGAGGAGGGAAACGCCCTCCCCGGAGCGCCGAGCTGGCCGGGCGGGCTGGGACTGGGGCCGCGCGGTGACCGCGGGGCGCGTCGCCCAGCCCACCCCAGTCCCTCCGCCCGCCCAGCCCACCGGAAGTGACGCGCGCGCAGGCAGCGCTGACGTTGGAGGGTCTCGGTGGCTGCGGGCGCTGGAGTGACGCTCCGCGAGGCGCAGGGTCCCCGCCCGCTCCCGCGGCTCACCACCCCACGCACCGCGCTTCTTGGGGTGAAGTCAAGGGACCCAGCGAGGCAGGGTCCCTGCCGCTGGTGCCCCGCCGCTGCCGACCTCCCTACCCGCTTGCTCCCCATACAGGGCACACGTGATCTCGCCCCATCTGGCCCCCCCCCAGCCTGAGGTCAGCGCCTGGCAGAGTAAGGCTTCAGTGTATTTGAATGAATGAGGTCATCTGGTGTCCACCCCCCAGATCTGAGATCTGGGCGAAAGAAATGGATCCATTGCTTCGAAGGAGTGACCGCTATGGTCTTCTGTGAGGCGCTGAGTGACTATGACCTGGTTCTAGCTGAAGATGAGGAAATGAACCGAATGCATGAAAGCATGAAGTTGTTCGACAGCATATGAACAACAAATGGTTTACTGATACATCTATTATCCTTTTTCTAAACGAGAAGGATCTCTTTGAAGAAAACATCAAAAGGGGTCCCCTCACTATTTGCTGTCCGCCCTGATGGTCACAGCCCTTGTGGTCAGGAGGTGCTTCCACAGTCCTCATGTCCCTGCAGGCCAGTCTCACAGAGTGATCTTTAGGATCTTATGCTGACTCCCTCACCCCTTGCCTGTAGCCTCACCCATTCCTGCAACACCTCCTCCAGGGGTTGTTGGGTGGACCCCAGGTGTTCACACCTGCCTAGTGCTTGTACCCTAGGCCGGGAGAGCCATGCACTGTTTGCCTTCAGGGTCGTGGGTGTGGCCACCTTCCAAGTGTCTATACTGGCCCTCTTCTGACAGCTGCGGAGACCTGTCCAGGGACCAGACCTTGCTCATGGTCATGGTAGGGGGTTGGGGGGAGTAGCAGGTGAGCCAGCAGTCAAGGCAAGCACCCAGGGCCTAAGCGATCTGTGGCGAGGCTCCGGGCGCTTTGCTCCCTCAGGACGCCTGGGCTCCCCCATCCTGTGTGACCCCCCCATCTTGTGCCCACAGCAGCCAGCAGCCCCGCAGCACAGGCCCCTCTGCCTCCTCACAGGCTGAGTGCTCCTGCAGGGCAGGGGCAAAGTGACTGAACAAGTGGCTGCCTAAAACCAGTGGCAGGGCCAGATTCCGTGGCCTCCTCATCCTCCACCCAGCTTGGACCTATGGTCAGAGTGTCTTCAGTCACTCGTTCTATAAATGCCTGCCGTGCGAGGCCAGTGTGTCGCCAGGGAGGCAGGTGACAAGGCCTACCCAGGCCCTCTCACACCAGGGGTGCATTTCAGCAGGAGACACAGACCACTGAGTGAAACAGCAAAAGCATTTTAAAATGCTGGTAAAGGGCCTTCCCTGGCGGCACAATGTGTTAGGGTGCAGTACTGCAAGCTGGCCGCAGCCGCTTTAGTGTGAGTTTGATCCCCGGCCCCGGAGGTGACCCACAGGGCACAGTAGACCTCTCCTGTCTCCCCACTGCTCCCCTCAGCAGTGCATTTCAGTAGATCCACCTGTTCTGCTCCCCACTCTGGCTCTGGGGAATCCTCTCACCTTCTGCACCTCTGGCTTATACCCCAGTTCTGTATGCACAAATAAAT